ATGAGTGTATCTAAAAGTCGAGGGTCGAGAGTCGAGAGTAAAGGTCGAGAGTCGAGAGTAAAAGTCGAGAGTCGAGAGTAAAAGTCGAGAGTCGAGAGTAAAAGTCGAGAGTCGAGAGTAAAAAGTCGAGAGTCGAGAGTAAAAAGTCGAGAGTCGATCGAGAGTAAAAAGTCGAGAGTCGATCGAGAGTAAAAAGTCGAGAGTCGATCGAGAGTAAAAAGTCGAGAGTCGGCAAATGTCATCAGAAACAACAAAGTCAAAATACTTTTAACACAATATATAACCGATCCGTAACAACGGCTGATTATAGCCGTACGGGCGAGGGGGGGGGGGCAGCCCCGCCCCCCAGTCAAAATAAATTAAGTCATGCAAATTATAAACGTATAAATTCGGGCAAAAATTGGGGGAAATAAACTTTAAAAAGAAGACAGTACATGCAATATGGTATTTGAAAATACCAGAAATATGTAAAAGTAACGAGGAATCGACAAATAGGAAAATATTTTTGTCTACTTCCCAACGACAATTTTGGAAATTTAGTTACACGGAAAATTTTATTCAGTGGGTAAAAGTCGATCGGGTAAATTTCTTCCCGCCCGTACGCCTATGACGGCTGAACTAATTTCATTTCCTGTGTATCGGAACATAAAGCAAACAATATTTGCGAAACATAATTTAGTATGCTCAAATTCTCGAAATTAAAGTAAACAAGAGGCATATACAATCAAAGGAATAATCCAGTATAATATAAAACAAAAACTTTCGCAAAAATTTAGCCACAACATTCAATAATAATAACTATTATCTAATAACTAGTTTTATCGCTTCCTTATATATTACTGTCCATCCTTCCCACTTTTGCATGCACCTATTTCCGCGAAAAATTACTCATATGTGAAGCTACATATAAATACTAGGACTTTACAATCACGTGCGAGACATATTACGACAAAAGAATCCTATTTTTACTGGCTCGTATTTATGAATTCACAATTGTATGAATCGTTAGATTGTGATCAACGTGGATTTCTTAATACGCTCTCGTTTGATATAAACGTACGTTAATAAATGAATAAGTGACATTTTAGTTACAAGCCTGGAGATGGCTGTCAAAATTCAGCGAAGTTTATGTGCATGTCAGTTAGAATGAAATGACATGTGAAAACATTTAGCAAGATTGAGGCATCAAATGCGATATTATTATTTTCTTATCCAAACTTTTTTGTTTTTGTTATCACGTTATTATTATTGACAGTGGCGGAAATCTCCCCCCCCCCACCTTCCGGAAAATTGACGAATTTTCGGAAATTTTGATCTAAAAGAGGGCTAAAAACAGTCTTTTCGAGTGCAAATGGGGGGGGGGGGGTTCGTCGGAAATTTCAAAGTTTTGTCGGAAATTTAGGAGGCTTTGCCCCCCCCCCCCACACCGGAAAAAGTGAATTTCCGCCACTGATTATTGACTGTTGTAGCAATATTTATTGGAAAGTTTGTATTTCAGCCGTTGGTACTTGTTACGGAATGGCTATGTAAAGCTATATATAGATTGTGTTAAACGTGGTTAAAAATATTTTGACTTTGTTGTTTCTGATGACATTTGCCGACTCTCGACTTTTTACTCTCGATCGACTCTCAACTTTTTACTCTCGACTCTCGACTTTTTACTCTCGACTTTTTACTCTCGACTCTCGACTTTTACTCTCGACTCTTGACTTTTACTCTCGACCTTTACTCTCGACTCTCGACCCTCGACTTTTAGATACACTCGTTCTGCAAGTGTTATGTAATTCGAAGGTCGCGGGTTCAAGACCCAGCCGCGGAAGATAACATCTTTCTGCTTGCGCTGGGTATGGAAATTATATAACACGCACTCTAGAACATTTTCATATATATATATATATATATATATATATATATATATATATATATATATATATATATATATATATATATATATATATATATATAAATTAATCAACTCAACACATAACGTAACGTTTCGACTTTACGACAGACGTAACGTTTCGACTTACTGTAATTACACCATCTTTGACCAATTACACCATCTTTGACCAATTTGTTTAACTCTGCTATTGGGATGGGAATTTTCCCCTCTGAATGGAAAATTGCTAGAGTTATACCGCTTCAGAAGAAGGGTTCACGCTCCGTTTTAGACAATTATGGGCCAATATCAATTTTGCCGGTCATCAGCAAAATATTTGAAAAGATCTTGTATGAGCAGTTATACGAATATTTTACCACCAATAATTTATTGTCTGAACAGCAGTTTGGGTTCAGGCGCTTTCATTCCACGTCCACTGCTTTGCTTGATTGTACTGATGAGTGGTATGTTAATATGGATCGTGGTTTGTATAATCTTGCCGTTTTTCTCGATTTAAAAAAAGCATTTGACACGGTAAACCACGACATTTTACTAGCTAAACTAGAGTTATATGGTATTAAGAACACGCCTCTTATGCTTCTCAAATCGTACTTATCAGATCGATCTCAGAAATGTCAAGTAAATGGGGAACTTTCCACACTAAAATATCTAAAATATGGCGTTCCTCAGGGTTCAATTTTGGGTCCACTTCTGTTTTTAATTTATATCAATGATTTGCCGAATTGTTTACAACACTCTACAGCACGCATGTTCGCCGACGATACTAACATTACAGTGTCCGGTAAATCAATTAAGGAAGCGGAGGTGGCCGTTAATGTCGATCTCAATAATATCAGAGAATGGCTTCTATCGAACAGGCTCTCTCTTAACCTTGTCAAAACGGAATATCTTTTGATTGGATCACGCCACAATATTAACACGTTAGAAGAACAACCGCGTGTTTTTATTGGAGATGAACCAATTAAAGGGGTTCAAGTTACAAAAACTCTTGGAGTCAAAATTGATCAATTTTTAACTTGGGACAGTCATATTGACCAAATTTCTAAAAAAATATCTTCTGGAATAAGTGCCATGAAAAAGATAAAGGATTTCACTAATTCTGATACTTTGAAGTCGGTCTATTATGGTCTTGTCCAACCCCATTTCGACTACTGTTGTGAAGTTTGGAATTCCATTAATAGAGGCCAGTCTGAACGACTACAAAAACTTCACAACAGATGTGCTAGAATTATAATGAACTTTAAAGATGAGCCTGGGCAATCTCAACTGGCCCTCGATCAATTAGGGTGGATAAGCTTGGAAGAAAGGCGAAAACATAATATGGCCCGTCTCATGTTTAAGGTTGTCAATAATTTGGCACCATCGAGGTTCTCATCAATGTTCCAGAATTCTAACCATACCCACAGTTATAATTTACGAGGTTCAAATTCGTCTCTCTTTCTGCCACGACCAAATACCGAGTATGGCAGAAAATGTTTTCGATATAGTGGGGTTAAAATCTGGAATAGCATTCCTGAACAAGTAAGAAACAGCGAATCTTTAAATTCTTTCAATAGAAATTTTTCCTCTGTTAGTCTGACGAATTAGCTATTTGAGTTTTGTATACCATTTGTTTTGTAATATGTATTTGTATTCGTAGTTCTTAATTTTCTTAGTGATTTTGTATTTTATATATTTTTGTAACATTTATCTACGCCCCACTTGGAAAGCAGCTATGGTTGAAGTGGCCAGCGTAGTCAAATAAAGTTTTATCCTATCCTATCACCGAACTCGTTAAGAAGATATGACAATCACAATATACCACCTTTACCCCAATATGGCGCCATCTTGGCGCTCATTACGAGTAACAGCAAACTCACAATAGCCCGATATTTACTGACGTTTTTAGCGCGGATTTTGCTTTAGTAAACCTCTCTTGTAATTATTTTTGAAAAAATATTGTGTTTTGAGCAAAATGAAACTACTAACTTGTACAACTCTGATCCACAAATGTCTTTCCCACATTTCTTTACATATCTTTCTTTGAGAACATGCGCATTGATAAAGCATTTTGTTCAAGATCCAGAAATGACTTTTCTTTTAATTTCGGATATGAAATGTAAAATGCATTAAAGAAATAAATTTGATAATTTATAATGCCAATAATGTTATGATAAAAAAAAAGGGGGTCACCGATCTTTTTAGGGAATTGTGGCATTAAAACGTGAAATATAAGTAAATAAATAAACTACAGACACAGGGAACCCTATCTACACTTTTGTATGCCTTTTTTTAAAACATTGATTTTAACGTAATTCTTTGCACGAATGTATTGCTTATATCTATTAAACCTACCTACGGAATACTTAATTTTGTATTTTCACTTGTCCATCGCGTTTAGTTGTTGAGAAATGTTGAGATAAAGTTGAAGCCTGTTCGAGCTTCATCCGCCATCTTGAAAATAAACGCATATGCTAATTTATACTTGAATAAATTACTGACGTCATTGGCTGGGTTAAGACGAAATGACAATATAAAATAGTATTGTTTTTACACAACGTTGTTGGCTTTTAGGTCAAAAATAAAAGGTGTCTAGCAAATCCAATAAATAGTTGTACAATAATTAAGTATCAGCGCCGAGATTACTATTAATTGCGAGTATACGGAAAGTCGAATCAGATGTCTTGACTGAAACACTAGTGATAAATTATGCAGTCGGGCCAGTCGGCAAGATAGAAACATTAGCACGTCTGAATAGAAGTATATTTTATGGCGGCATATTTCTGAATTATATCTTCATTCATAAAAAATCACAATTATCTCCGCACAGGCGGTGACAGGTTGTAAAACAGCATTATTTGCGAAATAGCCGTACAAAGCACATATTGTTGTAAATTAGTAGCTTAGCCTTAGATTCAGTATAGAATATATTTTGTAAAAATATATGATAGTAAAAATTTATATACAGGGTGTATAAAAAAAAGGAGACCTTTAGAATTCAATCATATTGTTAAAATTTGAATGCCTTTTCAATTACACATATGCTGAACCGTAGTGCGTGAAATATTGATGGGTTGCATATATTAGAAAAAGGAGACCTTTAGAAATTGAAATAACGTTTAAACAAAAGATTGTCTGCTCTTGGGAACAATCTGCCATGAATACTGTACGTAGATCGCATGTTACGCACTCGTGGGCTTAGCAAAGTGCTCCAGGATTCAAATTATAACAATGGTTGATTTCTAAAGGTCTCCTTTTTCTAATATATGCACTCCATCAATATTTTACGCACCACGGTTTAGCATATGTGTAATTGAAAAGGCATTCAAATTTTAACAATATGCTTGATTTCTAAAGGTCTCCTTTTTTTTATACACCCTGTAGTCTATAATTATATGCATGCCAATAATGTTATGATAAAAAAAATATAAGTAAACTGGAACATTTGAATAACAGGAAATACGAACGTTAAACAAAAACAGGAACTTTTAGCACGGAATGTACGTACGTGAGGGAAGTTTGTGGCTTCAAACAACCATCTCCTATAGTTTATATTAATTTAAAAGCAAGGTGAATTGTTTCACATATTTTACAAATATAGCAGTTGAAAATATCAACAAAGCATTTGTTTACATACGGACTTTACATGCTCTTTATATATGAATATACACATATGATTTTCATTTATATAATGTATATAACTGAAGATTGTGAATTGTGGATTGTAAATGAAGATTCTGACCTTCGAGCTGAACGGTCATGGTTAACGAAGCTCTTTAAAATTGATTAAATTTCCACATTAAAGTCAAATAAGTATAATGCCTGATACAGTAAAAGGTTTAAAGGAAGCAAACAAGGCACTGCGCTCTAAAATTGAGGAATTAAAGTCTCAACTGAACGAAGTCAGCAAAAAAATTACCTCACATACCAACAAGAAACTGGCCATTGAAGATCAGCCGCAGGTCATGTCAAACGACCAAAATAAAGCAGTAGAGTTTATCGGCAAACAATATGACGATCTGGATGCATTTCGAAAACAAGCTACTCAAGATATTAAGAAAATCTCTTCAAGACTTGATAAAGTTAGTAGAAGCTGCGACGAAATATATGAAGCCATCGAAGCAATCGAGACGTACAGCTATCAGTATAATATTAAGATAGTTGGACTGCCGCCAGTTAACGACAAAGAATCGTCTGATGTGACTGCAGCGCTTTGTGTAAAGCTTTTTTCAGCATTGGGTGTAAATGATGTCTCTCTACAAGATATAGACACTGCCCATCGTGTCCCGAAGCGGAATCGAAATTTACCTGCTAGTCCAGCCCAATAATCTGCAAATTCGTCCGAAGGCTTGCTAAAGACAAAGTCATGGCGGCAAGACGTAAAATATACGATCTAAAGCCCGAACAACTCGGATTCCAAGCACAGGAACAGCATGGCCGAATGAACATCTACGAACATTTAACACCTCGCCTTCAGATACTTCTCTTTGAGGCTAAAAAAGTGCAAAATCGTTACGGATTTAAGTACTGCTGGGCTAAGAACAACTACATTTGTCTTCGAAAATCTGATGAGTCCAGTGTAGTAAGAATGAAGACACTTGAGGACCTGGCTAAGCTGACAACGGTTGAAGATGCAAAATGATCTGTACATTAAGATAAGTAGAATAATACACTAAAAATATATTGTGTGATAACAATGGGGAGCAAACATGACGAAAAAGTAAACAAAGCTATGTTTCGCGAACTGCCCTATAACGGTGTTAATATTTTTGCTAGCCACGGACAATTTAATAACAGTCTTTCTCCAAATCATATCGCTAAAAACTATTTAGATAAGCTTACTAGTATATATGATCTGGACCTATTTAATCTGAATACAAATCCTAATTCGGCTATAAACCCCGATCACAATATTATCAGTAACCATATTCATAGTAGGTATTATTCACCCAATATAGCTTTCAAAAAATTGACAAAGCTCCAAATAGTTTATATAATAACCGATTCACATTCTTTCATAATAATGTATGTAGCTTGAGGAAAAACCTTGATCATCTGCAAACCCATATATTGGATGAACTTGGCTTCTCTTTTAGTATTATAGGTATAACTGAAACTCGCATAACAGATGCTACTATTGATAACTTCAATTACAATATTCCTGAGTACTCGTTTGAATTTGTTCCAACGCCTCTTGCTGCAGGAGGAGTCGGAATGTATATCAACAATGAGCTTAGATATTTTATTATTGAAAAAACCGCGAACAAGGACTTTCAAGCTCTATGGATTGAAATTCTTATGCCAAATAGGAAGAATATTATTTGTGGTGTACTATATAGGCAACATAGTTCACCAGAATGTTTCCTAAATTATTTTGAAGAAAAACTCGAATATTTCACTTCTCTGGGCAAAACTGTTGTTGTCATGGGCGATTTTAACATAGATTTGCTTAAAATTGATAGCTGTAATTATGCGCATAATTTTTTATTGACTTTACAAAGTTGTTCAATGACCCCTAGCATTGATAAACCAACCCGTGTCCACAGGGACTCTGCCACGCTAATTGATAACATTTTCATTAATATTCCGGATAAAATATTAACGAGCGGTAATGTCGTATCGGACGTAAGTGATCATTTTTCTCAATTCTGTATTATAGATTTAATTTCAGCTAAGAACAACGTAACAAAATTTAAAATTAGAGACTACTCTCGTTATTCGGAGACTTTATTCCTTCAAGATCTGTCACAAATAGATTGGAATTCCATAATAGCTAACCATGGACATGATCCTGATAAACTGTTTTCGACCTTTTATAACCAGGTTAACAAATTTGTAAACAAACATGCACCTCTCAAAATGATTTCCAAACTCATGGCTAAGTCTTTCACGAAACCTTGGATATCCAAAGGCTTAAGAGTATCAATTAAAATTAAAAATGCATTATTTTACTCAAACCCTTTAAGATATAAAATTTATAGGAACTCGATTGTAACCTTAACACGAGCAAGCAAGAGACTGTATTACCATACATACTTTAGTTCAAATCTAAACAATATGAAAAAGACCTGGGATGGAATAAGGGATTTAATTGGAGGTGGCAAAAAACGTAAAAAGGAAATTAATGCGATGGCGCAATGTGCCAACAGCCAATTAATTCACGATCCCCAAAAAATATCTAAGATTTTGAATAATCATTTTGCTTCTTGTGGTCATCGTTTAGCAGCTAAGATGCCTCATGCATTCAGAAAAACATTTCTCTGAATATCTCCCAAAACAGAACACTGATTACGAAAATATAGCCTCTCAGCATGGCTCATTTGCATTCTTTCCAGTAACTCCATCCGAGATAGAACTTGAAATTACCTTATTACCAATTAATAAGTCGTATGGCTTATATTCCTGCCCTACACGTATCTTAAAATGCGCAAAAAATATTCTAAGCAAACCTCTAGCTGACATTATTAATACTTCTATTGAGCGAGGAATCTACCCCAAAAAATTAAAAATTGCAAAAATTATTCCAATTTACAAAGATGG